AGGTGTCCCGAGGGCCTGGCGCCTCTGCGTCTCTGGTGCTGACGGTTAGAGTGGGTAAGCCTTGTGGATCTCAGCACTGGGGACTGAGCAGAGCAGATAGGTATCAGAAGAATTTCACCTTCTGAGGAATTCAGATGCAGGATCTTGTAAAATCACTCAGTAGATTTCTTCTGTCTCTGCAGTGGCAAAGTAAGTTTTTCTCATTTCTTTGCTGGCACGAGAGAAGAGAGAAGCTTCCAATTCTGCCAGATGTGAAGGGAGGGTTGAGAATTTATGGTTGTGCTGAAGTAGGAAGCACAAGATGAAGAGTTGTCTTCTTTCCGTGCAAGATTGTGCTGAAGCAGCATTTAAACTCTGAGATTTAATAGCTTAATTTTATTTGGACCGAATTGCCTTACTTGATGTCTCTTTTAGGTTATTTTTGTAATGTCTCCTGTGGACTATTTGTACCCTGGGCTGAAAGAGAAAAAAGCAAATCAGTTTATTCAGAAGCTCTTCAGATGCATTTGAAGTAGCATCAGGTAGTTTTCAAGTGGCTATAGAAAATCCATTTAATAAAATTCTCCTTGAGATTTTTTTTTTTTCTAAACATCTCCGTATCTAAAATGTGCAGAGCTTCTATATAAGATTCAATTAACAACTTCACAAAAAGTCACGATGATGGAGAAGCATAACACAACTCATAGTTGCTTTTGGTCTTCCATTTTTAAAATTTTTGTAGTGATTTAAAACTTTGAAATCAGGCTACAGGGTGCTGGGGACGACAACTTGTATGTATTTTGCTGTCACTGTTTTTCTTTAACAATGTTATACAAACGTACGCTAGGATATATCCTCCTTCCTTCACTTGTACTGCATTAAACTTAAATTCAAGTCATGAAGGATTTTGACCTGTTACACTGCCTTGTGCTTTTGGGGAGATGTGGACCTAGGAGTAGCCATGTGGTTATAAGGGACCAGGCCAAAGTATTTTGAATATATGGTGCAAAATTGCAAAAAGGTGAAATTCTGTGAAGAACGTGTGTGAGCATCTTACAGAGGTCAGAGCAGAGTCATGTTTTTATAGTCCCATGGCTCCTTTGTAAAACAAGTTTTGAAAGTATAGCTTGTAAACCTTTTTTTATTTTTTTTTTTCTGAAATCTGATTTTGATGGCATATTAAAGATGTTGGGTGACTTTATTTCCTAATTAATTTTCTATTTTATTTATTAATTACATGAAAGCAAGAAATCAAATATTAGAGAAGAATACAAGGCTAATGCAGCTGAAGTTGGGCATTTTGGTGCGTAGAGGGAGACTTGCTATGAAATAAAGAACATCACTGTTTTGAGCATTGGAATGTGTACATAAGAAATGTAGACTAATCAGGCCTTTTTGTCTTGGGCATATTTTAACAATCTGGCCTAATCTTTTTCTGTGTCTTTAGGTAATAGGGCAGTAAGTCTCTGCATGCATTTAAAATGTCTGACATTTTTTTGGAAGTTTCCACAGTCTAAATAATATATGGAGTCACATTAGCCAAGAGTTTGCATGATGAATGCCATAGATTAAGGATGATGCATTCCATGTGAAGTAGACATTCTCAGCTGCTGTTTGGAGTCTTCATTAAATTACTGGAGATGGTATGCCTTCCTAATATTATGTACTCAATTTTAAAACTGTTTGAGGCATGATCCAACGAAAGGAACATAATGTATTAGTAGTGAATTAAGATTCAAATTGTCCTTAATGCATACCCTGTGTGTCATACTCCTCATGGTTATATTCTGCTACTAATGTTGTGTAACTGTTGTCTGAAACTAATGCTGTATTTTAAATTCTGTAGTAATCCATTTCTGGGGTAATTTGTTTTCAAACGAAAGACAATAAGGATTCTTAATTTAAATGTTTGTTAGTAAGGATAAAACATGAGGTACATAGAAGGCTAATGCTCTAATCACAAGTGTCAACTGTTCTACTTTATTTGTCTTATGTTCTGCAGCAATATATTCGGGGGAGGGAAAGGAGTGTGTGTCAATGTTTTCAAAATTAAACCCAGAGTTTTTTATTTGTGTGTACTCACAAAAATTTGTACAAATGTAGCTATAAGGTGTATATGTAGAAAGGCAGGTGAAAGGAGTATTAAAAATCAGATATCGTACTATTAATTCTTTCTTTTATCCTGCCTGCATCACTGGATCTTTCCAGTACAACTTCACACCAAACACTTTATTAAGAATAGCATTCAAAAATTTCCAAGCCAGTTTTGTTATAAAACCACCCTTGTGTTACCCGTGGCAGCTTTTTACATGTTGGTAAACAAGCCAGTCTAGGGTTGCTCTTAAATTGTTACCCCAGAAAAGTTTCATCTCTGGGGGTGAGAATAGGCAAGTCTCATTATGGAAAGGAGGATGTTCACCTTCTGCAGGACAGGGCAATAGGAATGCCTTGCAGGGAGAGGGGTGTCCCAAAAAATTCCTGTATGCTTTCCTCTTAGTGCTCAAAAGTTCCCTGTCAAAGGCGAATCTTAAATGTTTTGATTTCTTTATAGTTCGGACAGTGTAATGGTTTATATAAACATGGTAGTCCCTGATCACTTGGCTGGCTTTTTTTCTACCAGTTCATTGATTTGAGCTCAGTAAAATAAAATCTTCTGTAAAACCATAAAAAGGCAAGGCTGGAGATGAGCAATTTCGTATTACAATAGCAGATCCTGTGGCCACCCCAGCAAGATATTCCTGGTGAATGACACGTTGTTATTGCTTTTCACAGAGAACTGCCAACAGACTTCTTCCAACGTTTTTACAAATATTCTGCCAAAAAGTAGAGGAACAATTGGTGGATTTGTATTACTACTGTAGCTGAAGGTCTACAATCAGGAACTTATTTTCTGGTCTAGGGAGCAGTGCAGCAGAAGGAATAAAACCTTGAAAATGTCGTTTTAAAGTAGCAAAATAGGCTGAACAAGTGACAGACGTGGGGGAAGAAAATTATTTGGCTTATGACTGAATTTTTCATCTGAAATTCATAGCATTTTTGTGAAAAGCTAACTTATTTTTCAAGTGATACCACAGAAATAACTTTATCGGTTGGCATGCTTTGCAAGTTTTTTTTAGATATGAATTAAATCAGAAAACATAGGGAAATGTGCCTGCTTTCCCTGAAGATTTTATGATGTTCAATTCAGTGTGGCAAATAATTAAATTTGGCCATAATTGTATAATAAGTAAGGATAATATTGAAGACAGACAGTGCCTGATCCTACTGCTTCAATTCTCTGAAATGAAACGTGATTGCACAGAAGCTCTTATAGGTATTTCTACAATTGTTCCTCGACAGTTTTTTGGATCTGGGTGCATGTTGGGCTTTTGTCACCACCTCAGAGCTGAAATGCCTATGTTTTAGGAGAGCTGTTCTCACTTACAAGAGCTAATGAAGTTATCCAGCAAATAAAATATTCATGCAGGGAACCCAGTTTTGGCTGACATTCCTGGTGTCACCGGTTTTTCCAAAGGGAGGAAAAAGGGTGGGGATAGATGTTGACACCATGATCCTGTATTGGCAGGTTTACCAATACCTTCAGTATTGCTTTTATGTGTTTAGGGTAGAGGATATGCACTGTGAACTTCTCAAGCCCTCAGGGTCACTGCTGTTAACGTGATAGTCACGAATACTTGTTAGCATATTTAATAGCATTTAGATCAGGTTACGTTAGAGTGAATTGACTCAATAATTTGGGATCTAATAAAAGCTGTTTTGTCAGAATGAAGCTCCATTGAATATGTTTCTTTTTCCGCTTCAGTGTTTTCCTTGTGTTTGAGATATATCTCTTTAGCTTTGATTCTTAAAAGATTTAGTACCATCAAATCTTATGTAAGCTTCTGTGTGTGATTTTGAATATGCAAGGAGGAACAGATCTCTGCGGAGAACACTTAAATTTGCATGGTTATTTTTTAGAGCATAATTGTATTTTCAGAATTGGTAAGAGTACTTTATGTACAGCATATTGATTTTTCTAGGATAAAGTAGTGTTGTGGTGTGTAAAATGTTGGCTGCATGTGGGGTTACTTGGAGTGCATGTCATATTTTGCATAAATATCCTATATATGCTGTGAGGCGAGCTAAACCTGTAGTCTTCATCCTAACCTTGGAATGTGAATGTAGTTCTTTTATATGTTGGAAGTGCTATAAAGGTTTATCAAGCTAACCTTGGAATGTGAATGTAGTTCTTTGATAAACCTTTATAGCACTTCCAACATATAAATGAGGACGAACCTCCTCTTTGTGTAATATAGACAGATTATGAAATATATTTAACTCACCAGTATTATAGGTAGCATACACATAGTCTTGGCTTTTTTCCAAATGTCAACTGTGTCCAGAATTCTTGACCTCTTTTAGTAGTTGCATTGTTTTATATATATATA